TTTACCCATGTAAAATCTACAGGTCCCAAGTCCTGTGTCTCCTTTTGCCCTGGCTAACCCAATGCTCGCCCTTCCATGGTCCTGCAAATTCCGCCATGGTTCTGAGCTTGGCCTCAGTAGCAGGTTGTATCTATAGCTCCAGAGATGCAGTGTTTACAAAATGGATATCTCTTAAAAATTTTTTTTTTTTTTTAAATTTTGCAATGATTCCTGAACTTGAACCTTTCACCATTGTGGCAATCATAGAAAATGGCTCCTGGGCATGAATGAGATAGCCCAGTACAGGTGTTGAAGATCACGTCACAGGATTTGTTGCCCTCTAGGACTGGGGGCGTCCTTAAGCCGCACAAGAAACCAACAGGGAAGGGCGCACCAGCCTAGTTCATTATCCCGCAAAATATCGAGAAAACTATCCTAAAACGTACTCACAAACGTGAATAAAGATGGCTCACTAAGGCCGGGCATACATGGGTCGAAATTCCACCGATTTTTTTTGTCCAAAAAGTCCAGACCCAAGAATAAATTGGCCGATTTTTGCTCTGTTAGTGGGGTCAATGGCACCGGCCAATTTTCGTGGTTCCTCCCCTTTTCGGTGATTGGGCATGTTGGAAAATTCATGAAAAACGACCAATTTTGGACTCTATGGTCAAATCGTACGATCGTTTTTCCAAAAAGAATATGTGCATGAGCCATGACCTGGAAGGAACAGAAGTTTCACCTGTTATATGGGGTAAACTTTATGACTTGGTCGGCCGATTTGTGACCAATCGGATTACAGAGCGAACGTTTTTGATTTTCGGACAAAAAATTGTTCGGAATTCGACCCATGTATGGCCTGCATAAGCCACTTGTCCATAGCTCTACAGTCCTAGACAGTACGGAGGGACTGGTTGACGTGTTTTGAAGGTTGCGGGCTCTGAAGAAGGCGGTACCTTCGAAACACGTTGGGAAAGTTTTGAGCCCCGCAGGGTCCCCCCGTACCATTGTGGGTACCTGAGTTTTCCCAATCGCCATATACAGTTGCAAGAAAAAGTATGTGAACCCTTTGGGATTACGTGGAGTTTTGCATGAATTGGGCATAAAATGTGCTCTGAACATCATCTAAGTCACAACAATAGAAGAACACAGTCTGCTGAACATAATACTACACAAACATTAGATGTTGCCATGGTTTAATTGCACATAACATGTAAACATTCACAGTGCAGGGAGGAAAAAGTATGTGAACCTTTGGACTTAATAACTGGTTGACCCTCCTTTGGCAGCAATAACCTCAACCAAACGTTTCCTGTAGTTGCAGATCAGACCTGCACAACGATCTGGAGTAATTTTGGACCACTTCTCTTACAAAACTGTTTCAGTGTAGCAATATTCTTGGGATGTCTGGTGTGAATCGCTCTCTTAAGGTCATGCCACAACATTTCAATCGGGTTGAGGTCAGGACTCTGACTGGGCCACTCCAGAAGGCTTATTCTGTGCTGTTGCAGCCATTGTTTTGTTGAATTACTTGTATGCTTTGGGTCATTGTCCTGTTGCATCACCCATCCTCTGCGGAGCTTCAGTTGGTGGACAGATGGTTGTACGTTTTCCTGCAAAATGTCTTGCTAAACTCTGGAATTCATTTTCCCATCACTGACAACAATCCGTCCAGGCCCTGAGGCAGCAAAGCAGCCCCAAACCATGATGCTCCCTCCGCCATGTTTTACAGTGGGGATGAGGTTTTGATGTTGGTGTGCTGTGCCTTTTTTTCTCCACATATAGTGTTGTGTGTTCTTCCTAAACAACTCAATCTTGGTTTCATCTGTCCACAGTATATTTTGCCAGTAGTGCTGTGGAACATCCAGGTGCTCTTTTGCAAACTTCAAACGTGCTGCAATATTCTTTTTGGACAACAATGGCTTCCTCCATGGTGTCCTCCCATGTACTCCATTCTTGTTTAATGTTTTCCTTATCGTAGATGTGTCAACAAAAATGTTAGCATGTGCCAGAGATTTCTGTAGGTCTTTAGCTGACACTCTGGGATTCTTCTTTACCTCATGCAGCATTCTGCGCTGTGCTCTTGCAGTCATTTTTACAGGACGACCACGCCTAGGGAGAGTAGCAACAGTGCTAAACTTTCTCCATTTGTAGACAGTCTGTCTTACCGTGGACACATGAACATCAAGGCTTTTGGAGATACTTTTGTAACAGCTTCATGCAAGTCAACAATTCTTGATCGTAGGTCTTTTGAGAGCTCTTTTCTGCGAGGCATGGTTCACACCAGACAGTGCTTCTTGAAACCAGTAAACCCAAAACAGGTGTGTGTTTTTTAAGGGCAGGACAGCTGTCAGCAACACATCCAATATCATCACACACTGATTGGAGTCAAGGTTGGCTCACTCCTGGCTCCAATTAGCTCTGGGAGAAGTCATTAGCTAGGGCCTCACATACTTTTTCCTCCCTGCACTGTGAATGTTTACATGTTATGTGCAATTAAACCATGGCAACAACTAATGTTTGTGTAGTATTATGTTCAGCAGACTGTGTTCTTCTATTGTTGTGACTTAGATGACGTTCAGAGCCCATTTTATGCCCAATTCATGCAAAACTCCACGTAATCCCAAGGGGTTCACATACTTTTTCTTGCAACTGTAAATCTACATATCTAAGCCTTCTTCAATCACGTTGTGCATTATAATGGTTATTTTCTGATCTCTTCTGTGTTTTTGAAGGCCAATCGCTGTCAGTTAAGGCTCTAGTTTTTGTTCTCACCTACTCCTGTTTTTCTGGGCTTCTGCTGAATGGTGTGAACTCTGGTGGCGACCTAAAGTTGTGCAGTGCCACCTTTCCCAATTCTCTAAAGCACGGGTATCAAACTGGTGGCCCTCCAGCCGTTGCCAAACAACAAGTCACTCCAGCCGTTGCCAAACAACACATGAGGCACTGCAAGATTGACCAGTTATAAGCATGACTCCCAAAGGCAGAGGCATGATGGGACTTGTAGTTTGGCAACAGCTGGAGGGCCGCCATTTTGACACCCGTTCTCTAAAGGTTATTGTGTTTCGGAGGCAGGATTCTGCGAATGGGACCAGGTTTAGAACATAAAGCCGTCAACTGCTTAGTGAACCAATCCAAAGGGTAAAGACCACATTGATGCGGTAAAGATACAAGGTTGTTAAGCGATCTTGATAAAAAAAAAAAAAAACTTTATTGATAAAAAGAAACATATGGGCAATCAGGTGGCAGAATACAACAAAAACTGAGGACTCATAAAACATGTAGAGGAGACCAATAATGGCTGTTTCTTTATTGAAAACCAACTCAACATCTCATCCAGTTGCCTGGGCATGGAGGAAAGTCAGCCGATTCATTTGAAAGAACTTGGTTGACTCTTTAAAGGGGGGCCCCACCCCTTCAAGGCTGTATTCCTGAAGCTGCCTTTACAGGTGGGTCACAAGCCTGGAATCAGTATGCACGTAGGAGTTGCTACATTGCTGGCAGCAGGCCTAATCCCTCTCTACTCGATACAAAACCAAACAAAAAGTTTCGCCTTCAGCTACACTTTAAGACAGGGGGTCTCCAAACTATGGCCCTCCAGGTGCTGAGGAACTGCAAGTCCCATGAGGCCTTGCAAGACTCTGACATCCACAGGCAAGGCACCCAGAGGCATGATGGGACTTTTAGTACTTTAACAGCTGGAGGGCCATAGTTTGGACACCTCTGCTTTAAGATGACCACCATGGAGCCCACGCACCTAAAAACAAGTCAACAATCCCATAATTCTAGACTTATGCCGGCCATACATGGTTCGAAATTTGACCGCTTTTTCGTCCGAAAATCAGACCTAAGAATAATTGGCCGATTTTCGCTCTGTTAGTGAGTCAATGGCACCGGACAATTTTCGTGGTTCCTCCCCTTTTCGGTGATCGAGCATTTTGAAAAATTGGTGAAAAACTACCGACTTTCAACTCAATGATGGTCAAATCGTACAATAGTTTTTTCCGAAAAGAATATGCGCATGAGCATGAGCCCGTGACCTGGAAGGAACAGAAGTTTCACCTGTTCTATACGGTGAACTTTATGACTCGGTCGGCCGATTTTCGAAATCATTGATGGCACCATCGGATTACTGAGCGAATGACGTTTTCAATTTACGGATGGAAAATAGTTATTCGACCCATGTATGGCCTGCATAAGCCATTTGTACGTAGCTCTACAGTCCTAGACACAGTGCACTGCACGGTATGGAGGGACCCTGTCGGGGTCAAAACTGGTTGACTTGTTTCGAAGGTTGCGGGCTCTGAAGAAGGCACTACCTTCGTAACGCATCGGGAAAGTTCGACCCATGTATGGCCTGCATAAGCCACTTGTCCGTAGCTCTACAGTCCTAGACAAAGTGCACTCCACAGTACGGAGGGACCTCTGTGGTCAAAACTGGTTGACTTGTTTCGCGGGCTCTGAAGAAGGCGCTACCTTCGAAAGGCGTCAGCCAAGTTCAACCCATGTATTACCTCTGCATTAGTTGTCAGCAGAGCATTAGGCACAGAAAATGTCAGGGCTCATGCTGAAGGGCAATTAGTCCTGGCCTCTGAGTAGATGCGTGGTCGTCCACCTCGGAACTGCGCCTACGCAGCCCACAGAAGTGATTGGCCATGTAGCAGCTGCAGAGACATAATTCCATGTCAAAAACGCACATGTGGACAGTAGTGGGTGAACAGATCCGAATGCATTGTCTTCTATGAGCTGCCTGGGCCGCAGCTTGGAGGCGGATGCATATCTGGGCTAATGATCCGTGACGTGGCCATTCGATGTCCAGTCCAAGTACCTGCTATTTTTGGTGTCTAGATACCCCCACTTATTTTATAAAGCTGCAATCTTGGAAAGACGGGGAAGCAAAATGGCCAACTAAACAAGCCCTACAACAACTCAGGTGCTGTGAGAAAGCAGAGATAAAATACGGCTCAATAAAATTTAACTTAAGATTTGAAACGTCATCCGAAGAAATGTCTCTCTTCTGAAGCTCATTTAAGGTCCATGAATCTGATGTCCATAATGAGCAGGACACATTTGGGCAGAGGTCGTGGTGCCGGGGAAAGCACCGTCAGAGTTTGCCTTTCAATGTCCACACCAGTAATGACGATGAACCCTGCCACGTTTTTCTCCTCAATACTTTCATCCGGTAGTCCACCATCGAGAGGCACCACGCTGAGCAGGTGGTGAGCCATGTCTCTGCCCGGTGTCACTGGCACCAGTTTCAGCTGATTATCCTCCTGCGACATGCCCAGAGGAAGGCAGGAATCAGGGATTGAGGGAGCTCCGACTTTGTAGACTTTGACCTCGGAGAACTTCACCTCGAAGGCGTGAGGGTAGAGAGAACCCCGAGGGCCGTAGAAGTACTCCCGCACCCGCTGATCTCTGGCCTCCCTCCGGCACTCCTTGGACCTCTCTGAAGCTCCACCAGATTTAGGGAGCAGAATGGTATGGACAAAGTGTGGGAGGTCTCGGTGGAGGTCGTTGTACAGACGTTCTTGGTCCAACACGATCACGACATCCACTTCAAAAGCAGAAGCGGCGTGTATTATGGCTTGATAGCCGCCGCCTTTGACCCAACCGCAAGTATTAATGATGCAGCCACTGACTGCAGCTCGACGATTGGAGTCGCATCGCAGGTTGAAGACCTGAGCCAGACGGGAGGTCAGCTGTGGAAGGGGAAGTAAAATGGCGGTCAGAAGTTGTATACATGACAAACACATTGAGCAGAATGAGAAATCAGTTCTATGGTACAGTGAAGGAAATGCGTATTTGCTCCCCTGCTGATGTTGAATGTTTGCCCACTCACAAAGAAATGATCGGTCTAAAAATTGAATGTTCGGTGTATTGTAACACTGAGAGACAGAATAGCAACAACAAATTCAGCAAAAATGCATGTCTAACAAATGATGACTGATCTGCATGTTCATGAGGGAAATAAGTATTTGATCCCCTATCATTCAACAGGATTTCTGGCTACCAGGTGTCTTTCATACAGGTAACAAGCTGAGATTAGAAGCAGTCTCTTAAAGGGAGTGCTGCTAATCTCATGTTGTTACCTGTATAAAAGACACCTGTCCACAGGAGCAATCAAACAATCAGATTCCAAACTCTCCACCATGGCAAAGACCAAAGAGCTGTCCAAGGATATCAGGGACAAGATGGTAGACCTACACAAGGCTGGACTGCGCTACTAAACTATCGCCAAGCAGCTTGGTGAGAAGGTGACAACAGTTGGTGCAATCATTCGCAAATGGAAGAAACACAAAACAACTGTCAGTCTCCCTAGGTCTGGTGCACCATGCAAGATCTCACCTCGTGGAGTGTCAATGGTCATGAGAACAGTGAGGAATCATCCCAGAACTACACGTGATGATCTTGTCAATGATCTCCAGGCAGCTGGGACCACAGTCACAAAAAAAACATTTGGTAACACACTACGCCGACAAGGATTGAAATCCTGCAGTGCCCGCAAGGTCCCTCTGCTCAAGAAAGCACATGTCCAGGCCCGTCTGAAGATTGCCACTGAACATCTGAATGATGCAGAGGAGGACTGGTTGAAAGTGTTGTGGTCAGATGAGACCAAAATCAAGCTCTTTGGCATCAAATCAACTCGCCGTGTTTGTAGGAGGAGGAATGCTGCCTATGATCCCAAGAACACCTTCCCAACTGTAAAACGTGGTGGAAACATTCTGCTTTGGGGGTGTTTTTCTGGTGCACCATGCAAGATCTCACCTCGTGGAGTGTCAATGGTCATGAGAACAGTGAGGAATCATCCCAGAACTACACGTGATGATCTTGTCAATGATCTCCAGGCAGCTGGGACCACAGTCACAAAAAAAACATTTGGTAACACACTACGCCGACAAGGATTGAAATCCTGCAGTGCCCGCAAGGTCCCTCTGCTCAAGAAAGCACATGTCCAGGCCCGTCTGAAGATTGCCACTGAACATCTGAATGATGCAGAGGAGGACTGGTTGAAAGTGTTGTGGTCAGATGAGACCAAAATCAAGCTCTTTGGCATCAAATCAACTCGCCGTGTTTGTAGGAGGAGGAATGCTGCCTATGATCCCAAGAACACCTTCCCAACTGTAAAACGTGGTGGAAACATTCTGCTTTGGGGGTGTTTTTCTGCTAAGGGGACAGGACAACTGCACCAAAAGGGATGATGGACGGGGCAACGTACTGTCAAAATTTGGGTGAGAACCTTCTTCCCTCAGCCAGGGCATTGAAAATGGGCCATGGATGGGTGTTCCAGCATGACAATGACCCAAAACGCATGGCCAAGGCAACAAATGAGTGGCTCAAGAAGAAGCACATTAAGGTCCTGGAGTGGCCTAGCCAGTCTCCAGACCTTAATCCGATTGAAAATCGGTGGAGGGAGCTGAAAGTTCAAGTTGCCAAACGTTAGCCACCAAACCATAATGACTTGGAGAGGATCTGCCAAGAGGAGTGGGCCTGAGATGTGTGCAAACCTGGTGGCCAACTCCAGGAAACGTCTGACCTCTGTGATTGCCAACAAGGGATTTGCCACCAAGTACTAAGTCATGTTTGTGAAGGGGATCAAACACTTATTTCCCTCATGAACATGCAAATCAGTCATTTGTTACACATGCATTTCTGCTGAATTTGTTGTTGCTATTCTGTCTCTCAGTGTTACAATACACCGAACATTCGATTTTTAGACCGATCATTTCTTTGTGAGTGGGAAAACATTCCAAATCAGCAGGGGAGCAAATACGCATTTCCTTCATTGTAAGTGGTCTGAGAACTTATACTTCAGTTTTGTATAGAGGTAACCTCCCAACTCTTCAAAAACTACCTAGGGGCCTACCTGATTGGATACTGCCTTGGGATGTGTAGGTACAGTAGATACCTACACAATCCAAAGAACTTTGCAAGTGTTAAAATTACAGTTTAAGATCATCTTCAGGACAATGTACAACCAGACTGATATGTACACCTAGCTTTGGATCTATCAAAGGGCATCTGTGATAAGGTCTTTTCCTGAACAACCTACTGCCCAGCTTCAGCAGATGCCACCACCAAATGACATCTTCTAATGGCAGAAATAGAATCTTGAATGGAAAAATAACCAACCGGTGGTGAAACCACTAGCATCGACCCAAAAAGTAAGCCATTTTGTTCCACTCGGCAAGAGCATCTATAATGAGGTCTCTTCCTGAACACCCTACTGCCCAGCTCCAGCAGATGCCACCACCAAATGGCAGAGCTAGAATCTTGAATGTAAAAAAAATGACCAACCAGTGGTGAAACCACCAGCTTCGACCCACAAATGGAGCCATTTTGTTCCACTCAGCAAGAGCATCTCTAATGAGGTCTCTTCCTGAAGACCCTACAGCCCAGCTCCAGCAGATGCCACCATCAAATGGCATCTTCTAATTGCAGAGCTAGAATCTTGAATGGAAAAATGACCAACCAGTGGTGAAACCACCAGCTTCGATCCACAAATGGAGCCATTTTGTTCCACTCAGCAAGAGCATCTATACTGAGGTCTCTTCCTGAAGACCCTACAGCTCAGCTCCAGCAGATGCCACCACCAAAGGGAATCTTCTAATGGCAGAGCTTGGGATCTTAAGTAGAAAGATTTCAGCAACCACTGGTGAAGCCACCAACATCAACCTGCAAATGGAGCCATTTAATTCCACTCAGCACTCAAATCTGTCTAGATCTGACCACTGAAAGTATGAACATACTGGTGCCGATGTCAACATTTTTTACCGGGATTTAGATATGGACAAGCATGGCCACCATAGATCCTTACTATCCATTCCAGGAACTGAATCTATTTCAAAGGTCAATGCTCCAATAGGTCTACACCATTATAATCAGCCAATCAGTCCTGTGTGCGGACCCTGAGGTCCATCCACCATAGGATCTTTGGTGGACTTTAAACCTACAGGCTATGATATGGAAAAGCCCAGACCAGCCAATCTCCTCAGTGAAGGAGTTACAAAAAGTCCTTCCTCACCTTGTTGTAGAGCTTGATGTTCGTCCCTGGCGTAGTGGAGCCAAAGTGATAAACAAGCGGAGCTTGAGTTGAGAACCCTTCCTCCACATCAGCTGGCCGTTCCACACACAGAGCCCCAACTGTCCCCGGGACCGACACCGAGCCCTGCCCGACATCTAGTTCCACCATGGCTGGCCGCCGCCCGATCCTCACCGCGTAGTTTAGGAGCAGTCGGCAGAGCGTTGATTTACCCACGTCAGATGGCCCGGCCACCAGCACCCGAGGCCCGCGCTCTCCTTCCCGCTCTGCCTGCACCCGCATCTGCTCAAGGGCCACGTGGGTGTTGAGGTAAAGGAGCATGGGGGTATCCTTGGAGACATACGCTGTGTCCGGGCTCCCGAACAGCTGAACGGTGCACCCATGCCAGGTGAAGACAGCGGCTCGGCTACCCGGCGGGAATGTGTACTTCTTGTTCTTCACCAGCTCGGTGCCGAACACTTCGGCGAGGCCTGAAACCAACTCCACCTGAACGGGGGCTGGGCCTTCCACCTCCAGCCGCAGCTCTGTCTCCTTGTCCAAGTCAAACTTGGTTGAGGGGCCGCTGGAGGAAGAGGAAGACGGCCAGGAACTGCTGACCTCCGAGTTCCCGCCGAGGACATCTTCCGACATGGTGGCCACCTAAAACATGAAGGACAGAGATGAGGGTCAACAAGATACAAGACGGAAAAGACTACAAACATAAACACGTAGCCAAACGGCTTGATCTACCGAACTATTTTGATCGTCCCATTCGAATCCTCGTCCCAGCCCGACCACATTTTGCGCCACATCATTCCCCAAAATCAGGGTCTGACCCAAAGGGTTCCCCCCTCCTCATTGTCCCTTAAAGTGTCCATTGTGCTCAAGATCGCCCCAGCGCAAGCACCACTCCAAAAACCGCTTTCACCCACTGCGGGAAAACGAAACTCGGTTAATGTGACATGGTGCTATTACCCAAAGCAACCGGACAGGCCTATTCCTCCCAGTGCCACTGCATGGTAGCTACTGGCAACAGCTCCACCTGACCAGGCCCAACCAGGAGCATAGTGAAGCCCTCTCCACCCTGTCAACGTGCCCCGTTCACACCACCAAACTCACCAGCAGCGTTATACAAGACGACCGGAAGTCACAAGGCTCAGAATCCCTTCCGGGTTCACAATTTGCGTCAAACAAAGCCGCCGCCATTTTGTTGTAGACCGGCTCTCATTCAAACGTCCTACAAATACGTTCTCTCCACAGACACATTTCTTCTTTTAACATCAAAAGAGAAAATAAAACATAATTGAGCCTTCCGAAACTGCTTTAAATTAAATTGTCCGCAATCTGCAAGAGCGGCGGCCATATTGTTGTAGTCCTACTGCTTTCTTGAAGGGATATTCGGTGTCAGTACATCCCTGAAATCATTTCAATAGAAACGAAGAACTTCTCTTTAGTTTGCAGCCTATTTTGAGGTGGGTGAGTTATCGGTGAGGCAAAACGGCCGCCATTTTGTTGTAGTCCGGTCTATTTTTTTTCTAAAAAGATATTCCATGTCAAAATAGCGGTGAAATAATTTCAATAGGTAAACAGTACATTTCTCTCTAGTTTACACTCTATTTTATGGTATTTTTCGTTGTGTGTTAAAGGATAGCAAAACAACAGCCATTTTGTTGTAGTCCAAGAGCTATACTGTTCGCTGTCAAAACATCCGTGAAATCACTTTCATGTGTAAGTTGAACGTTTATCTTTAATTTATAGTCTGATATTTTGCTATGTGTGTGCTAAAGGGTAGCAAAACAGCAGCCATTTTGTTGTAGTCCAGTATCTTTTCTGAAAGAATGATCCTCCTTAAAACATCACTGAAATCACTTCAATAAGCAAGCTAGACATTCCTCTTTAATTCTTAGTCTATTTTATGATATTTTGATGTGTGTGAGTTAAAGGCATCGCAAGATGGCAGCCATTTTGTTGTAGTCCAGTCGCTTTTCAGAGAGAATGTTCCCTGTCAAAACATCACTGAAATCACTTCAATAGGCAAGCTGGACGTTCCTTTTAATTCGTACTCTATTTTATAATATTTTGATGTGTGTGAGTTAGAAGCATAGCAACACGGCAGCCATTTTATTGTAGTCCACAACACAGACAGTTTCCCAGAAATGTAGGCTCCCATAATCCCTTGAGTGTCTGGACCTGAGCAGATTTGAAGGGAGTGTGATGCTGGAGTGACTGTTGGACAGGTAAAGTCAGTGCTGCTCTTATTATTCCTACTATTAATAAATTTATTGTGAGGTGACTTGAAAGCTGATTCATTCTGACCCAATAGAACCCATTCCACCAGTCTGACAGCTGAAAACGCAAACCGCGGCATTCCAACAACCCTCAGCCTGCCTCTCGGGAAACACAGACGCCATGTCCATGGAGTACGGTTGTCAAGCTGCAGATTGGGCATTCTGGCACTGGGGGGAACCTAACTTGGTGTTGCTGACATCCCCAGTGACACCAATACAGTGATCAATGCTAATAAAAAGCACTGACACTGTACCAATGGCACTGGGCAGGAAGAGGTTAACATCTGGGGTGATCAAAGGGTTAACTGTGTGCTGTGTGTGTTCTACTAAGGAGACATGCTGCTATGCAGAGCCATACAAAGCAGCATGCAGGAGCTGATAGGAGAGATACCTGTATTGTTTATATACCGGCCTCTCCCGTCAGTGATACTAGGCGATCGGCGGGTAATCACCGGCTCGGACCCGGTGATCAACAGCTGAAGCCTCCGATGGCGGCTCGGGTAGGGCACCCCCTATCCGGAAATGCAAAATCACGTATATATAGGTGATTTTGCCCAGCCCTTCCGCCATATTGCAGTATTTCTGCTATAGGCGGCGGGCAGGCGGTTAAAAGGTTACCAAGAAACTACGTATACAGGTAAGGGGTGGCTGTAGATAAAAGCAAACTGTGCAGCTCTGACTACAGTTGAATAGTACCCTTGCTATAGGTGTAGGCCATTTTACATACCTCATGAAGCCTGACTTGGAAATTCCCAGAGATGACGTCATCCCGTCCTTCCTTGTTGCTAGGGAGTTGCTAAGACACTCCCAGCCACTACTGTTCACCTCACAGGAGTGAGCACTCAAATGCCGAGCTCAGAGCTACTGCGTCAGGGGAGAGGAAGAACACATGAGGGGGGCTGAACCAGAGAAAGACCTCCCTCCTGTGATGGTGGAGGTGAGCAGTAGTAGCTAGGCTTCTCTTTGCAACGACCTTAGCAATGTTCCAGTCAGGCTTCAGGAGGTATGTAAATGGCCTACTCCTATAGGAAGGGCATTATTCAGTTTTGATCAGAGATGTTCAGTTTATTTTTATCTTCAGACACCTCTTATCTGCATAGGCAGTGTATTGGTAAAGGTGGACTAACCCTTTAAAGACGGCAGAAGAGAGGTTAGCAGTAGCGAGGAGATCGGGGACCATGGGCGGACTGACAACTCATGGGGCCCCCGGGCAATAGGGGATCATGAGGCCCCTGTGTCCTTGCCCACACTCATAAAAGCCTATAAAAAAGGTACCAGAGGCATCTCATGGGGCCCCCTACTGAACCCGGGCCCTCGGGCAGTGCCCGAGTGCTCGCATGGTCAGTCCGCCCCTGTCGGGGACTCTACTGAATCTACTAGATTGGCAAATCCCATCTTACATGGCCACCACACTATAGAAGTTCGTGTATCGATCAGGTGTCTGAGATGACCGCTCGATGTATCGAATCCGATCGCTTTCAGTGTCAAACGTTCGTTGGAAAACAAGGACACGATCCATTGATCAGCTTGAAGAGTTCCAAACTGTCCCATGAGGTCCTCTTTCCTTCTGTCCCGCAAGATCAGATGACAGCATTCAAAATGATAATGATGAACGATTGGTAATGACAAGATTCGATCAGGTTTTAATAAAGATTGTTTTATTGAAGGATCAGATTGAGACATGTATGGCGGTCGGTGTACTGATGTTTCTGCCCTCCCCTTCCCTCGTGTTTCAGTAAAACTTCCTCTGTGAGGAACATTCCTATCTACCCAACAGAATGCTTTCAAACCTGAAGTTTGCATAACAAGTAAATGCATTTATTTATTTATTATTTATTTATTTCAGGTACTTATATAGCGCCATCAATTTACGCAGTGCTTTACATATATATTGTACATTCACATCAGTCCCTAACCCTCAAGGGGTGTACAATCTAAGGTCCCTAACTCACATTTCATACATACACATACTAGGGACAATTTAGACAGGAGCCAATTAACCTTCCAGCAGGTCTTTGGAGTGTGGGAGAAAACCGGAGTACCTGGAGGAAACCCACGCAGGCACAGGGAGAACATGCAAACTCCAGGCAGGTGGTGCTGTGGTTGGGATTTGAACCAATGACCATAGTACTGCCAGGCGGAAGTGCAAACCACTTAGCTACTGTGCTGCCCATTTATGAGTCAATAATTGTAACCTGTATATCGTTGTTTTGGTGGGGTTTTTTTTATTCTCTGTATTAAAGATCTCTTCCTTGCCGGTGTCAGGTTGCTGAAGTTTATTTAATTAATGGACGCCCCAAGAATGAAGATGGACAAGACTAACGTCACCCAGATACTACTAAACCTCACCCTTGAGACCATCTACCTGCTGACCGGAGAGGTGAGGGGGATTCTGGGAGGTCACATGACGTCACTCCTATCTCTATTAATAAAACACAGACCTGACTGGAGAGGTGAGGAGGATTCTGGGAGGTCACATGACGTCACTCCTATCTCTATGAATAAAACACAGACCTGACCGGAGAGTTGAGGAGGATTCTGGGAAGTCACATGACATCACTCTCATCTCTATTAATAAAACACAGACCTGACCGGAGAGGTGAGGAGGATTCTGGGAGGTCATATGACGTCACTCCTATCTCTATTAATAAAACACGGAGCTGACCGGAGAGGTGAGGAGGATTCTGAGAGGTCACATGACGTCATTTTTATCTCTAATAACCATTTGGCGCCCGGCCAATAGCCATATGGCGTCCGGAAAAATGCACTAGCTGTCCGGGAGGCAGCCATTTGGCGTACTCCCGCACATGCGCAGTTCGCGCGCTTGCAGAGCCGCGCAGTGGCGTGATCTGTCACCGGCCGTGTACCTCGGACACAGCCTATGACATATCTGAGTATCGGCCCTGTTGCCAGTACCATGTGACCTGCTGTGACCAATCACAGCAGGTCACATGACAGTTGTATACAATGTATGGCTTCCATCCATTGTATACTAGTGTCTAGCTGTGAATGGTCACAGCTAATCACATGCACATGTCATGTGATTAGCTGTGGCCAAATCACAGCTAAGCACAAAAAAAAAAGAAAAAAAAAAAAAACCCTGAATGAATCGATGTCATTCAGGTAAATGCTTGCTTATTGCAAAGTAATTCTTTGCTATAAGCAAATTGTGCATAAAAAAAAAAAAATAAAATACTGATCACTTCCCCAAAGTAGTACAATGTTACTATGGTAACATTGTACTACTTTGGACATAGTGAAATATGAAAAAAGAAAACTTAAAAAAAAGAAAAAAAATGTAATAAAAAATTTTAAATAATAAAATTTTTTTTTAAAAAAAAAATATATATTTTTTTCACACTGTTACCAGTCAGTGTCCCTGATCACCGCCATGCCAGTTATATGATGACGCTGTACTGCACTGGTGACAGTATGTAAAAAAAAAAAATAGTGGAAATAATTTTTTTCATTTTTTCATTTTCCGAAAAAAATACGACAAAAAAAATACAACTTCAAAAAACTCGCCATGCCTCTTATGAACGTACGTCGGATTGTCTACTCTGCAAAAAGGGGTCATTTGGGGGATATCTGTACTATTCTGACATTCTTGGACCTCAAGAAATTAGATTGGCTGTCAGTACTTCAGGATTGATCAATATTCAGATCTATACCATAGTTTGTGAACTCTATAACTTTCCTACAAACTAAATAATACATACTAATTTGGGTTATTTTCACCAAAGACATGTAGCAGAATATATCTCGGCCTAAATTTATGAAGAACAATTATTTATTTGCAAACTTTTATAACAGAAACAAAGAAAAACGTGTTTTTTTTTTCAAAATTTTTGGTCTTTTTTTGTTAATTTAGCAAAAAATAAAAACCCTGGTGATTACTAAATACCACCAAAAGAAAGCTCTAGTTGTGTGAAGAAAATGATAAAATTTTAGTTTGGGTACAGTGTTGTATGACCGCGCAATTGTCATTCAAAGTGTGAGAGCGCTGAAACCTGAAAAATGGCCTGGACAGGAAGGTGTAAAATTGCCCGGTATTGAATTGGTTAATAAAACACAGACCTGACCGGAGAGGTGAGGAGGATTTTGGAATGACATACTGGCTCTGGTGTCCTTAATGGCAACATATATTCTTTCCCTTTCAACTTACAGGACTACGAAGTGATGAAGAGGACATCTGATGATGGTGTCACTTCCCGTTTTCCTGGTGGATTGAATAGGAGCCGGAGCCAAACTATGAGTCCTTCACCTCCCTCTATGATGCAGGAGAAGAATGACAAGAAAATTCTGAAACTCACCAACCAGGTCATTCATATATTGACTGGAGAGGTGAGTGCTGCTTGACCCTTCTACAGGTCTCTCACCATTTCCACATCAATAGACCTCTTTTTGGAGTCACCTATCTAGCCCGGTCTAGGTTCTCAGATGGACAGTTCCAAATATTATTGTCAGCTCAAGTATGACATCCCACTGGTTACGGTTCTAGAGCTCTGCAAGGGAAATTTACATTCGAAACCCACTTAAAAATTTTACTGAGCACAAATTAGAGTTGGTCAATGGGCCCGTAACTATCATTGGTGAAGCTAAAAGGTTCTTTCAACCAGAATGTATAATACCGTGGGTGGTAGTTGATGGAAAAGTAAAACCACTAAACAGTTTCCTATACTGATTAAAAATTTTGTTGGTGGGATGTTGAGGTTTGGCACTGAAATGTCTGCGACCACTCATAGTGAGGGGCTCCCACCAATGCAATCTGTAGTATGGAGAATGCAACAAGAGTAGCTGGACTGCTCCAAGGTGGGAAGCATTCATGATGGCCCCATTCTTGTCTACTTTAGAGCTTTGGCTGCTTTCATTCGTCTTGGGGTTAGTCCTTCTGATTCAATCTTATAGCAAGACCTGGTACCTCAGGTACAGACATCCCACCATTGGTGATTCTGAGAGATATTAAAACCATTTTTAGTGGCCTAACTCTCCAGCCTCTGCTGGAAGTTGAAGTTTTGGGTCAACTCGGCCTTTAACCACTAGCGTACAGGGCACTTATACCCCCTTCCTGTATAGGCCAATTTCCAGCTTTCAGCGCTGTCACACTTTGAATGACAATTGCGCGGTCATGCAACACTGTACCCATATGACATTTTTATAATTTTTTTGTGACAGATAGAGCTTTATTTTGGTGGTATTTAATCACCTCTGGGTTTTTATTTTTTCTTAAACAAACCAAAACCCACTGAAAATTTTGAAAAAAAAAGTTTTTTTCTTAGTTTTTGTTATAAAATTTTGTAAACAAGTGATTTCTCCCCTTGCACTGATGTGCACTAATGGGGCTGCAGTGATGGACACTGATAGGTGACACTGATGGGTACTGCTGAGGAGGCACTGGTAGGTGGCACTGATGGGCATTGACAGGCATCATTGATGGGCACTGAATGGCAGCACTCATATATGGCACTGACTGGCACTGATAGGCGGCACTGACTGGCGGCACTGATAGGGAGCACTGACTGGCATTGATAGGTGGCACTGATGGGTGACACTGAAAGGCAGCTCAGATGGGCACTGATATGTGGCATTGATGTGCACTGGTAGGCACTGAAATGTGGCATTGATGTGGCACTGATGGGCACTGGCAGGTGGCATGGATGACCACTGACAGCTGGCACTGAGGGAAACTGACAGGTGGCACTGCTGGGGCTACACAGATCATTAGGGCACACTGATCATCAGTGCCCTGATGATCAGTGTACATGTCCCCTCTGAGGGATGCCGATTACCGGCTCTCCACTCCTCTGTCAGCGTGACAGCTCGTGAGGAGAGAAATGCCAATAACCGGCATTTCCCTATTTACATGCGATCAGCTGTGATTGGACACAGCTGATCACATTACCGAGCCGATATCTTCGGCTCTTTCTTTTGATCGGTGATCCGCTGTGTCCGAGGGACACAGCGCACCACCGATCGCCACGCGCTCCCGGAGCCGCGCATGCGCGGTTAGAATGGGACGATGTCATATGACGCCGTCCCAGAAAGAGAGAACCGGGCGGGTGGGAGGCGGTTAAATACCTACAAATTAGAGCCAGTATCCACAGACTTGGTAGTGACCTACAGTGACCTGTAAATAACAAAAAGGTGTCAGTATCACTGAGAACTCTCTCCTTTCTGCAGGTGTGGAAGTATTTAGGAAAAACAACTTTACGTGACTACACAAATCCTGAACAATCTCCGTCTATACGGTCACATGGTAAGTTGGGGTTTACTGGCTGCTCATCACATATTAGGTCCCTACTGTTAAATGATCATTTTGATTTTGATTTTCCTGCCATGGAAGGAACATGTCCATGTATTTAACTTTATTGCTCCCTGTCTGCATTGGGGAGGAAGTAGGTCCTGGTCCACATTTTATTGCCCCTTCTTCCTTGTGTCCTTCCCTAGCTTTGAGTAAAATGCTTGCATCAACGAGTGTTTGTGCATAGAGGCCAAAAACCTAATGAGTATGTCTTTTTTTTTTTTCTTTTTTTCCCAGATGTGACTCATGATGATCCACCCAGCTGCACCAAGCTGGCATCCAATTTCCATGGTGATGACGACCATATATCCTTTAGGCATGACTTATCTGAAGGGGTTCCTCTACCAGTCGTTGACATCTCCACACCAGTTCTTATCAAAGAGGAGTCTGTGTCAAGTGAAGAAAATCTCCACTTGGAGGACTCCAAACCTAGACCACGTACACAACATACATCTAGTGAAGAAGATCTTCTCCACTTGGAGGCCTCCAAACCTAGATTACGTACACAACATACATCTAGTGAAGATCTTCTCCACTTGGAGGCCTTCAAACTTAGACCACGTACACAACAAACATCTAGTGAAGAAGAGCTTCTCCACTTGGAGGCCTTCAAACCTAGACAACGTACACAACATACACCTAGTGAAGAAGATCTTCTCCACTTGGAGGCCTCCAAACGTCGACCACATACACCAGATACATCTCAAGTTGATGCATTATCAAATGAAGACAGGCATACAGGAAAGCTTGGTTTTCATAGCCCTGCAGATCATACCCAATACACATCTTTCATCATTAAGGAGGAGGAAGAAGGAGATCTAGCAGACTCCAACACATCAACCAATCAAATACAGGTCACAGCACCAGAGATGGCAGATGAATCGACTACGTTGGAAAATTTCAATAAAAATGTGACTTCCCTTGGTAACAGTTTTAATGTCTCACCAAACCAAGAACATTTCCAGCAAGCCAACCCTGGTGAGGCACCATATTCTCATTACAACTATGGTGCTTGTGTAGGTGGTGATTTGACTACAGCGGGGTTCTCCAGGACTGGCGAAAACCCTACTGACCCACAGACAAATCTCGGCAAACACCTGATGATTCTCCGTAAAGGCAAAACCTTCTTCTGCTCAGAGTGTGGAAAATCATCCTCCTGGAGGTCAGTATTAGTCCATCATCAGCGCATTCACACAGGAGAGAAGCCATTTTCTTGCGCCGAGTGCGGGAAATGCTTCAATAGTAAGTCCCACCTTATTCTACACCAAAGGACCCATACGGGAGAGAAGCCATATTCATGTTCGGAATGTGGAAAGTCCTTCACCTGCAGTTCGCACCTTGTTACACACAGAAGGGTTCACACGGGAGAGAAGCCTTATTCCTGCTCTGAGTGCGGCAAAAGCTTCATCAGCAATTCAAATCTCATCCGGCACCAGAAGTTTCACACCGGAGACAAGCCATACACGTGCCCGGACTGCGGCAAATGCTACCGCTACAACTCCGACCTTGCTAGACACCAGAGGTGGCGGCCTGGCGGCAAACCCTACTCTTGTTCGGAGTGTGGAATGTGTTACTTTAGCAAATGTGCCCTGGCTGTGCATCTACAAAGTCATGGACTGGCTCCCCGTGTTATGTAGTAGGGACGGACAAGTACTCTGCATCATGCTGCCGATCAGAAACATTCCATGCTGAAAGGGTCAGTCCGCCCAAGAGTGGTATTTTTAGACCTCTTAGAGGTTGATGGTTTAAACCATTGGCATCACCATTCTGTAAATATATATAATAAAATTACTGTCACTTCAAGTTATTTTTTATATAGGCTAGCACGGTGCCGTCTTATAGTCCTTGGATCTCAAAGTTCACATCCTAGCAGGGGCCTTATCTCTGTGGAGTCCGTATGGTCTTTTGGTTTAACTCGTGCCGGTAGGGGACATGGCTCCAAACTGGCCCCACAATATGCATGCGGGCTTGTGTGACTGGTATAAGAACATTAGAGCAGGGCTTAAAATTTAAAGTCTAGACCTACTAGCTAGGCAAAAACCTTACTCTTCACCAGTTGCCCCACCAAACCTTGCCCAGGTCTGCCTCCAACCCCACCCCAGGCCCATCCCCCAGCCCTGCCCCCGGCAGTTCAGATTAAAGGCAGTTCAGATAAAAGGCTGGCCTAATCAAAGGCTGGTCTGCTTGAATGATTAGAGTGTAAGCTCCTCTGGTGCAGGGACTGATGTAAATGGCTCAGTGTTCTCTATACAGCACTGCGGTAAATGTTAGAGAAATATAAAGGTATAATAAAACAAGTGTGTGACCGCGCTGGGACGTTAGAGTGTAAGCTTCTTTGGTGCAGAGAATGAGGTGAATGAGTCATGGTTCTCTGTACACCACTACAGGACATCTAGTGAAGAAGATCTTCTCCACTTGGAGGCCTCCAAACCTAGATCGTGTACACAACATATATCTAGTGAAGAAGATCTTCTCCACTTGGAGGCCTCCAAACCTAGATCATGTACACAACATACATCTAGTGAAGATCTTCTCCACCTGAATGCTTCCAATCCTAGACCAAGTGTGTGACCGCGGTGGGACATTAGAGTGTAAGCTTCTTTGGTGCAGGGAATGAGGTGAATGAGTCAATTGGTTCTCTGTACACCACTACAGGATAAGGTGGCTATATAAATATATAGAATAAAGCATGAAAGTGTCAAAGATCCTCTCACAACTCTGGACATTTGAGTCCCACTTTAAATTCTCTGTCAGGCCCTGGATCACCTGCTGGTGGCACTGTTTTTTCCTGGGAAGTGTTGCAGTTCCGATGTTCACCAGCGGGTGTCTCCCAGCTGATCCCAGTAATCAGTCTCCACCTGGTGCTGGCTTCTGGGAGGGTATTTAGTTCCTCCTCTACTGTCCCCTTGTGCTTCAGTGTTTTGTCCTGCTTGGGTCGTCCTGGTACTGCTGCACTGCGGGAGAACTGAATTCCGTCTGAAAAGGAAGCCGTTCTCCCCAGCAACACTGCTGGGCCAACAAATTAGTGGTCACGGGTGGGCACCAGTCGGCTGTGGCTCTCCGAATCCCGTGGCAACTGCCAGGGTGCCCACCTGTTCACAAAACACTTCGGCTCAGGGGTGTCATTTGCTAACATATTAATATGTAGCTTCTTGTTGAGGTAGAGAAGGAGATTTCCCTCTCCTATCTTCTTCCTCAGGCTTAGGACTACATCTGGCCTGAAGGTAGTAGCGCCTGTGTGCACCGGAACCGGAAAGTCGAATTCTGGACCTCGCCTCCCAGTGGTGTCCACAGGTACCTTCATCCAAGATGGACAGTCCTCAATACCTGCTAGCATCCAGGACATCAGTTCCTCCAGTTTCCTGTCTGCTAGGTCAGTCACAGGTCCAGCTGAGCCATGATCGTCGCATCCAGGCGTCTTACCGTAGCCAGCTGCACCCACGACTGAGGTAACCTGCTTTTTGGCCTAGGGAGCAGACCAGGCCTCAACTGCCTCAGTCTCCCCCTGCCCAGACCTCTGGGGGTCTCTTCTTATCGGGGTGTTCCCAAACTGAACCACTGACATGCCCCTCTGACAGCTACCCTTCTCCACTGTCAGACTGTGCACGGGCGGTTGGTTCCTGACTAGTGACAGGGGCCCAAGTGGCTCTTCCCAGACAGGGCCGAACACCACGAGGCCCCTAAAGTGGGCAACTGCACCTGGTTCCACTCCGCATTGCGGGCCATTCCTGACCGCTGGAGAGGTGGTCGGTGCATTCTCAACCCCAACTAGCTTTCCCGTGGATTCAGGCAAGCCACATGGGGTAGCGAAGGCTGGCTCGTCTTGAGCTTGCTGGGTTAGAGATGGTGGCCCATGCTCCTTGCTCAGGTCCATGATGGCAAAACAGCAGGCACCTTCTGGATGCTCCATTACCTCATGGCTCCTGGGCATGGGGGGGCCACAACCACAGGGCTGGCGCTCAGATTTCCAATGTCCTCAAAAAGCCTGGTCATCGGATCCTGCTTGAAGACCGCGACTACCGGGGATGCCCAGACTCTAGCTGACCCCTGGCTTCCTGACTGTGCCATTCCCTTGGTCTCTGTGGCCCAGTCAGCCTGCCCCTTCTGGATTTAGACACCATCTATCAGAGGCCTGGCCAGCAGCTCTGGAACCTGAGTGGCAAGGAAGGGTGATTGGATCTGGGCCCTGCAGCCCTCTCTCTGTAATCCAAGCATCAACCCCCCTTGCACTCGTAATCCAAGCATGCTGTCACTGCCCATGACACATGTTTGTCTGCCTGTTGACACACCAGGACACATGAGATCACATAACAGGCTCCCAGCCCCCAGTGACTAGGCCAATAGTCCTGTCAGGCCTGTGTTGACTCTTCCCAGCAGGGGAGTTCACACCTAGCCCTGGACTGAAATCTCCATATGAATGGCTTTCCAGAGCTGCCTTACTCTTGGGACTAAAAGTCCCAGCTAGCTCACCTCCGAAGCTCCTTTGAGAATTGCTTTTCAGGGCTGCCTGAAGCGTGGAACTACAAGTTCCAGTCGGCTGTTGTGTACCCTCCTTAGCAGGGCAACTCACAGCTAGCGGACTTCTGAAGTTCCTT